TGCGCCCGTCGTCCCCATGATGCGGGCGCGCACCTCAGCGTAGTACGCCTCCTTCTCCTCGAGCGTCATCGCAGCGAAGTCGGGCTTGTTGCCCGCCGCCGGCTCGGCCGCCCCCGTCCCGTTGGCCGTCCCATTGGGAGCGGCCCCCGCAGGTGCAGCGGCGCCGTCCTCGCCCGCGGGCGCGGCGCCGGGCGCCTCCTCCGCCGAGTTGGCCGACGGCCGCGTGAGCATCATGACTTGAGGCGGCGGCGGCGGCGGCTCCGGAGGCAGACCCGAGAGTCGAGGCGGCTCGCCAAAGCCGTTGAGCGCGCTCGGCTCCGCCACGCGCCTCCGCGGCGCATCGGCGCCGCTCCCTCTCGGCTGCATCGGCTTGGGCGGCGGCGGGAGGGGAGAGGCCCCCTCCTCCGTCTCTGAGATGCCCATCGCCTCGAGCAGCGCGGCGACCTGCTCGGGCAGCGAGCCGCTCGCCTCCATGCCCATCGCCTCGTTGGCTTGCCGCAGCAGCGCCGCCATCGGCATGCCGTGTGGCAGCTCCAGCTCCGCTCGGACGAGCTCGAGCCGCTGGTAGAGGCTCCTCCGACCGCCCCGCCCAGCGGGGCTCTCGTCGGAAAACTCGCCGCACGGCGGTGGAGGCGCCGGCTCACCCTCCTCCGAGGGCGCCTTGCCCTCGGAGTTTCCGCCGTCGGAGGGAGGGGACCCGGCGTAGCTCGCGCCGGATAGCCGCGTCGCAAACGCGGGCGCCGAAAAGTCCATCTCGCCCGCCTCCTGGTCGTCGGCCCATCCGTGTGATCGCCGCTCGGAAGAGCGCTCGTCAGCCGCGTCACGCGTGGCGCTGGATGCAGGCGAGTCGCGCTTGCCGTCCTGCTCGAGCGAGCTGAGCAGACTGTCCCGCTCAGCCGCCTCGCGCGCAATCTTGGAGGCGCGCTCGCGCGCAGCAGCGGCGCGCGAGGCGAGCTCCTCGACTGCGCGCGCCGCCTCCTCCTCGGCCACCTTGGCCGCCTCTGCGGCGTTCCTCGCCTCCTCGGCGCGCGCCGCCGTGCGCGAGCGCTCCGCTGCCGCCTTCGCAGCGGCAGCGGTGGTGGTGTCGTCCGCGACCTCCTTCTTGCCACCCCACACCGCTTGCCCCTTTGGCACGATCAGCAGGTCGGGGTCGATGCCGCCATACTCCTTCTTGAGCGAGGGAAGGTTGACAGGGCCCGGCGCAAGCCGAGGCGCCGGTGCCTTGCGCTGCGGGGACGGGGGAGTGCGGCGTGAGCGTGAGCAAAAGGGCTGTGGCGGCAGTGGCGGGCGTGAGACACACCATTGTCTCTGTTGTGCGCTGTCTTCGACCTAGTCTGTTTTTTTCATCCGTGGGGAAAATTTTCTTTTAGTTGGGGCAAGTACTGCTTCTACACCCCAGTGCCCAGACGAGGGACGTCCGAAATTCGCACAATGGCTAGTCCCACGGCCGCCACATGTATATGACGCCCACCGCCGGCGCCGACGCCGACCATTACCACCGACCGACGGCTCGCACGGCCGTGCGGTGAGCAAAAATTTGGGTCGCAGCGCGCCTGCCGGATGCTCTGCGACGTCTGGACGCTCGCCAGAAACGCCAGGAAGCTTGCCTTCCACCCCTGGTCCCGACCGAGGGCGAACGGCAGTGGTCGGCAGCCTCTGCGACGCTCCGATCGGCTTCTCGACCTCATCGCCTGCGACGAGCCAGCATGGCTCGTCGCTCGACGGCAGCCTGCTCAGTATGCTCTCGGCATTCTGTACAGCCTCGCCAGGCTCTCTGTGACGGCCTGCAGGGCCGGCGCGGACCGCCTCGCGATGGCCCTCCTCAGCACCTACCTCTGCGAGGCCTGCTGGCTCTCCAATCGCGTCGCCGGCGGCAGGCCCGCATGGCGCGCTGCTCGATGGCAGCCTGCTCAATACGCCTTGGACAGTGACTTCTGCCTCGCTGCTCTTACTGCAGCCGCCTCCGGGGCCGGCGCCGGCCGCCTCGCTTCGCCAGTGCTGTCTACGCCTGCGACACGCGTGGCGGCTCGCCGCCCGCGTCGCCCGCGGCGGGCCCGCATGGCGCGCCGCTCGTCGCGGGAGCGTTCCCAGCAGGCTGTGCAGGGCAGTCTGCCTCACACAGGGCGCCGCCGCCGCTGCGCGGGGCCGCCACCGGCGCTGCTGCCGTGAACACTGCCGCCGTGTACGTCACCATCGCCTCTCTTCGTCGCCGATCTCGCCGATGCCGCTCGCTGCTCGCCGCCGCCCTGCCTTGCCCTGCCCTGCCCTCGCACAAACAAACCAACACACACACACACACACACACACACACACATACACACACACACACACACACACACACACACACACACACACACACACACACAAAACACACCCTGCCCCCACCTCGAGCGCCCCGCGCCCTCCCGCCCCACGCCCTGCGCCTCACGCCTCGCGTCCCACGCACGCCCCGGGCCCCGTGCCCCCAGCCACGCCCCTCACCTCGCGCCTCACGCCTCCCTCCCCACCCTCTCAGGCATTTCTCCTCCCTGCTGCTCGCCGACTCCTCCTCCCCCCGCATGACCGACCCAACTATCCGTCCTTCGGCGACTCCTCCCTCCTCGGCGCCAACGCCTACTACCCGTTCGGCCCGGGGAGGGGCGGGAGCGCAGCCATTCCCACGGCTGGAGAGTTCCTGAACGGCCGTGCATGCGCCTCATGCCGGCTTACTAAGAATGTCCCTCGCTCCTGCTCCTCTCTCGGAAGAGACGCGCGCCGGCCTGGGGGACTCGCTTGCGATCCCGCTCCAGCCAGAGGCCGCGTGAGGCGTGTGGGACGGTGCACGCTGGGGCTCGGCCCCAAGTGCGCTGGCCCCAAGTGCGCTGGCCTCGCGTCTCGAGGGGAGGGTGGCTCGTAACTGAGGTCCGCCTGCGGAGACAGTCGTCCTCCCCTCCCTCCGACGTCCTCTACGAGGGGGGGACTCCGAACGGCCGAGCCTAGGGCCGAGCATGCCCTCGCATGCCGGACAACTAGGTAGGTCATAGACCTCCCCCCCTCTCCGAGGGCAGAGGCTGCCGCCTCTCGGATACTCGGCCATTCCAACGGCCAGGCCGCTCGCTTAAGGCTGATTGGCTATGAGGCATGTTGTGCGAGTATATGGGCCAAAAGCGTCGAAAATGTCCCAAAAAAGCGTGTCGAGTTTGTTGCAGCTCCGCAGCCAGCGCGGGCTGCCGGGACGCACCGCGAGCTGGATACACGCACTCCCTGGGTCCCAGGGAGTGCGTGTATCCAACTGGAGTGAGTAGGCTCGACGCCGCGCTCGCTGTGGGGCTGCAACAAAGTCGCCGCCGAGCGTGCCATCGAAGGCGTCCCGTCGGAGGTGATGGAGTGTGAGACCTGAGGCTGCGGAGGTGACGCCTGAGGTACCGGCCCGTGTACGGCGACTCAGCCGGCGACCGCCACGGGCTCAGACGAGACCTGTCGACGCGTTCCGGCTCAGCTTCACCGTGGTCATCGGGCGTCTGTCGACGTCAGGACCACCCATGCAGCTCGCGGGTTTGAGGTCGCAAGAGCCAAGATGGTGGCGTTTGGACATCCCAACCATCACACAAGACAGCCTGTAGGTGATGGCGGGACGGCGCAGTGTTTGTGGCACTCGGCAGTAGGCACCCGCGGCACAGCCCCGCGGTCGGCTCTCCTGGGCTGCGGAACCGGCCCCAGAAGGGGACGGTCCGGGCGAGTGTGGCAGCTCCTGCGCTAGTATGGGCACCCTCTATCACAACACTACTGATCCTGGCCATTAGAGCTGCCAGGGATAGCGTCAGGAGCTGGTAGGAGTCAAAACCCCTCATATTTGAGACATCGTGGCCCATAATACTCGCACAACGAGCCTAGACGAGCGGTGGGTCTACCTCCAACGGGGCGGCCCGGGAACGCGTGGAACCTGCCCACCTCGGTGGGAGGTGGTTTGGCGCCGACGGACCGCCCTCTCCACCACCCTCGCCCAGGGATCTACAATGCTGTCTTAAGGTCCGACAGGTTCGGCACCGGGCACCGCCTCGGTACACAAATGCGCCTGCGCGCTGCGCGCGGGCGGACCCTCACAGATCACAGATCACACCCCACAGTGGTCCCCCATCCATCCACCACTCGCCTCAGGAGCCGAGGACCGGGCGCGCCCCAAACCGCACCGCCGCCTGGCTCATCTCGCGCAGAAGCCCAAGGGCGGCCGCGGTTGCCGCGGAAGCATCCACGGGCGCGGCGGTCTCAGCGGCCGCCGTGCCGTGTTCGAACAGCGACGCGGCGCCCGTGACGCCGCCGCGTTGGCGGAGCAGCTTTCCGACGTCGTCGAGCAGCGGCACCATTTTCTGAGCCAAACTGGCCGGTGGCGCTTTGCGGGCCGGCGGCGGCATGGCCTCAGATTCGGCGGTCTCCGGAGCGGAGGGTGGCTTCGGGTGGCATGCCGCATGGCGCGCGAGCGCCTCGTCCACGAATTTGCGCATGAACTGCTCGAGCGCCTGCGCGTCGCCGTCGCCCTGTGCCTTCTCCATTGGCAGCCAGAGCTCCTCGTACGCCGCCACTCGCTCGTCGTCATCGCCGATCGCGTTGAGCAGGTTGTTGCGCACCAGGTCGACCTCGTTCATTATGTGGCCGCCGACGTTCTTGCCGAAGAACTGCGAGTTGAGGGCTCGCTCGCGCTGCGCGAGCATGTCGTACCTGCGCGGGCACCAAGCGGGGCGCGCCTGAGGGGAGGCACGGAGATGGCGGGGGTTCTCCAGGCCATACGGCGCACATATTTTGGAGCGCCACGCCGTCCTGCAACTCGAAGACCACAATCGAGAGCCTCGTCAGCGCATTCTCCACCACGCGCCCGAGTGCCTCCACGCACTGCGCCACACGAATCTTGCTCATCTCGTCTGCGGCCGCTTCCACCGCCGCAGCCTGCCCGGCTTCCGCGCCGGTGTCGACCGATGGCGCTCCATCTCGGCTGAGGCCGCCGCTGCTCCCGACCGAAGCAAACGGTATCTGGCGGGAAAGGAGCATGGCCGCCTCCTCGCGAAAGATGTTGTAGCAGTCAGACATCTTGGTCGCCGCCTTGCTGGCTTTCCGGTCGAACGGCACGCCGAGGACGAGAGAGCAGAAGGGGAGGCGGTCGGCGCGCGAGGGCACGAACCGGACAGAGGCTGCACCCTCGAGCGCCTCCAATCCCACCAAGGCGGTGCGCGAGACGCCTTCGTCGTGGCCAGTCTGTTCCTTTGACGGACGGCTCATGAGCACGGCCTCGATCTTACCCACGAGGGACGCGGCAGCCTCGGCGCCCGCCTCGACTGCTGCATCGCGGATCGCGCAGAGCATCAGCATCAGTGTCGTGTTGCGCTGCTGTCCGTCGACGATGACGATGGCACGAGACTCTCGCGCGATCGTAACGCGGCCGATGAAGTGCTGGCCGAGCGCGCGCGGCGACACCACATCCTGCCACAGCTTCCGCCACTGCGGCGCCTCCCAGCAGTACCTCCTTTGATAAAGTGGCACAATCAACTTGGGCGCGGTCCGAACAAATTCGCCAAAATTCATCGGCACGCACGACTTGGCCGTGGCAATGCGACCCTCGGGCCGAAGCCAGCCCTCTTGCAGCCCCGACGCCTTCACCATCTGATGATCCGACGGTCCGATCTTGATCAGGACGTCGTAGAGCCATGCCTCCCCGTCGGCGCGCACTCGCGTCACAAACACGTTGGCGCCGCTGGGATACCCTGTGTGTGCCGGGCCAGCGAACACCAGCTGGGCGCCGGCAGCGTACTGCGCCTTGGGCATGTTGCACCTTTGAACGGTATCGGTGTCGATCAATCTGACAGCGGTCAGCGGCGGGACGGACGGCGATGAGCTAACTCGTCAGATAATGGGTTCGGCTCCTCGAGTGTGTGCGGGAGGACGGGGTAAAAGCGCCAAGCAGTATCTTCTACAGTGCCGTGTCTACTAGCTCCGAGTAGAGGGGGCGTTCTGAAGTTAAGGGGAAACCCGGTACACGGAGCCAACCCTCGTGTTTACTTTATTTACGGCCCTTTCCCTGTGCGAACGAACGCGCACCCCCCAGGCTGAGGGAGGGTGTAGAGGATGTAGAGTGTAGAGCGCTGTAGAGCTGTAGAGATGTAGAGCTGTAGAGATGTAGAGCACTCTGGAGCGCTGTAGAGCTGTAGAGCTCTACATCCAACTGGCCCGAGGCACCTTAAGCAGTTGCAACGATCGTTGCGACATTGAGGTGTACCCCGACGATCCCGATGACCCCAACGATAACAAGCACGTTCAAAGGGGAGGGTGTAGGCACGGATGCACGTTCATGGGTGCGTCCCCGCCGCCGATTTGGGTGGGCCCTTTTCAGGGGCGCTGTCGACCGTCAGTGCGCTTCACAGACTCACCAACATCTACTTTTGGCACATTGCATTACGACGGCTCATTTTGCACGTCGCCAGACTGCATGTACCACAGTACAAGAACCACCCTTGCCGACGCGAACTGATTTGCGAGGCCAACTACAACGTCGGCTGCCGCTATGTCAGCTGGAAAGCGGGCGCCAGTACTGGCGATGGACTGGCATGGGCATTCATATCCGTGGATTGCGCAACGCTCGACGATTGCAAATTCAATAGAATCGACTGTCCTGGAACTACCAGTGGTGATGAAGAAGCGCACTTGTATCGCACATACGAGTTGTACCGGCCTCCAACCAATCATTCCATGAACAGACAGGATGTCCTCGCGTAACGACCGCGGGAAATAAATATGATGCGGACTGGGAAGATGTGCATTACGACGATAGCGAACGACCCTGGGGAAACGTGCGCGCCCTTTACCTTTTCTCCAAAGTATCGAGAGACGCCGCGAAATTTTCTCCGCCCGCCGGACACTGGACGTTACATTTGTGCCCATGAGGGCAGGGTCCAAGGAGGAGCGCGCCATCCTCCAGCGCGCTCGGGGGTCGAACTCGAGTTGGCCCAGCAACGACCAGCAGGACACCTGTGTCTCGCCATCGCCACCCGACACCACCGAGCCCATCTATCCTGAAGCCGACGTGCATACCCTTGCTCTCCTCGGCTCGATTGATGCCCTCCTCAAGGCTCCCCCGCCGCCACCGCGCTGGGCACTTCTAAAGGCTCTCGCGGTTCTCGAGGAGGCCGCTGACAAGCGAAAGGCGCCCCAAAAGGGCGAGAGAGCCACATGATGTCGCAAGGCAGCCGCTGGACAGTGCGGGGCTGCCCTTCAGACCATTGGAGCAGTAACAGGCCGCTTTCATCTGGATTGATGGCACGACAAGCACTGGATCTGTCCCGGGTCCTTCTCTGAATGTGCAGTCGAGAGAGTCCCTGCCGGCCGACACCGAGTGGCTCTCCAGCTGGTCCAGGCCTTGTGGCCGGGTCTTTGCGTTTGCCTCCTCACCCGCTCCTCATGTCCCTTTGGCAGCGCCTGCAAGCTACCCGGCGATACACTCAAGTAGCCGTGGTAATCGGTGCCAATTGCTCTCGATGTCAACGAGCGCTTCACGCCGGGGTGCTCGAGACAGGCTGGCTCAAGGCACCAGTGTCCAAATCCGTGGAGATATGGAGCGGTGTGAGGCCGGTGAGCGTACTCCCCCCCCGCCCCCCCCTCCCGTTAACTTGAGTTTCAGTTATTTTGGAGACAGTCAAGCGACAAGACGTGCGATCGTGCGTTGCCGTGAGCGTGTCGTAGGTTGGCGGGTCGGGCCAAGTCGCAAGCCAGTGTGCTGGAGCCTGGACGGTGCTGGGACTGCTGTGCACACACACGCGAGAGACTCTTCAAAAGTCTCTGCGGGAGCCGCGGCGGGGAAGTCGAAGTGTGCAGCGTGCAAGTGTGTTAAGTCAAGTGCTAGTGGCCGGGCAAGTTCAGAAGAAGTGTGAACATGAATGTCCATGTGAGACACTAAATAAAAAGATAACACGAAACTCGACCGGAATGCGGAAATAACCGGTGACGAATAACTCCGTACGAATCGATCGGACCGATGCGGAACGATCGGCATGCCTGAGCCGGGCAGCGCACTGCCCCGTGCTCGCCCCGAGAGCCCGGCGATAGAGATATGAAACAAGAGCGCCACCACCCGCCTGTCGAGACGGCATCAGGATCAGCACGCCACCTCCACCATCCAGCCCCACTTGTCCTCCGCCTCGCCGTGCTGCACCGACTGCAGCCCCTCGCGCAGCTGGTTGAGCGTCTCGAAGCCGCCGAACTCGTACTTGCGCTCGACGTCGGTGATGGACCGGATCGGCGCGACGACGGTGGCGGTGCCGCACGCGCCAACCTCGCTGAAGGTCTTGAGCTCGCCCCACTCGAGCGGGCGCTGCTCGACGGGGATGCCCCGATCCTCGGCGATCGCCATGAGCATCTCGTTCGTGATGGAGGGCAGGATCGAGCTCGTGCGCGGCGTGACGTACTTTCCGTCTTTGTCAATGCCGAGCAGGTTGGAGACGGAAAACTCCTCGACGTACTTGTGCTCGCTCGAGTCGAGGTAGAGGGTGGTGCCGTAGCCCTCGCTCTTGGCGTGCTTGAGCGGCAGCAGGTCGGCCGCGTAGTTGCCCCCCGCCTTGACGTCGCCCGTCCCCTTTGGCGCCGCGCGGTCGAACTCGGTCATGATCTTGGCGTCGATCCCCTGGATCGGGCCCTTCCCAAAGTAGTTGCCCACCGGGATGACCGAGACGAGGAAGGAGAACTCGGAGCAGGGCTGCAGCCCGAGGACGGGCGACGAGCCGATCAGGAACGGCCGGATGTAGAGCGAGCCGCCCGAGCCGTACGGAGGCACGTACTCCGCGTTTGCGCGCACCGCCCAGTGCACCGCCTCAACAAAGAGCTTCGACGGCACCGGCGCCATGACGAGGCGGTTGGCGCCGCGCTGTAGCCGCGCCGCGTTCGCACCGAGGTTACACACGCGCACCTTGCCGTCCTTGCAGCGAAACGCCTTGCACCCCTCGAAGAGCGTCATGCCATAGTGCAGGACGCCCGCATGCACGTGCAGGTTGATGTATGGGTCCGTGATGAAGCGGCCGGCATCCCACGCCGAGGTCTTGGCCGACCAGGTGTAGCGCACGTGGCCGTTCGTCGGCGTGATCCCGAACCCGAGCTCATCCCAGTTTGTGATCCGCGCCGGCTGCACTCGCGCTGGCAGCGCCTCCTCGAGCTCGTGCACGCGGCTCTCGAGCCGCGAGACCTGCTGTAGCAGCCGCAGCTCGTTCGGCGGAATGGGCGGTGCCGACGACAGCGCTCTTCTGCCCGCGGCGACGGCTGTTCTACGAACGTGCCTACACAGCATCTCGGAACGAGCGGAAGGCAAGGGCAGCACGATGTGCTCGCTACTCGAGTAGCGGGATTTTTCTTTTGTTCAACAGAGTGAGCCGCCCCGAAAGGTTTAACATCGGCAAAACTGCGTGCTGTCACCCGTGAAGGGTTAAATAATGGACAGCAGACAGCCGGGTCACGGGCGTCGACGTTCCTGCAGGAAGACGTCGTAGCGTTTGGTGAGCTCCTCGTGCGCCCCGGCCGGCAGCACCTGCGCCGCGCAGATCACCTCCAGCGCGCTCTCAAAGTCCGCCGCCGCCACACAGAACTCGCCGACCTCCGCCGCCATAGCGTCGTCGAGCCCCCCACCCTCGCCACTCTCGTCCTCACCCTCGCCCTCGCCCTCGCCCTCGCCCTCGCCCTCGCCCTCGCCCTCGACGCACGCAGCGCGGTGCGTCGTGCCACCAAAACCGCGGCCGAGCATCGCCACCGCCGCCTCGCGGCAGAGGGCCGAGAGCGCGGCGCACGAGAAACGGCACGTGCGGCGCGCGAGGGCTGCGAGGTCGACGTCGGCGTCGAGCCGCAGCCGGGCGCAGTGGACGGCGAGGATGGCCCGCCGGTCCGCCTCGTCCGGGTGGCCCACCAGCAGCAACTCGTCGAGGCGGCCCGGCCGGAGCAGCGCCGCGTCGAGCGCCTCCGGCTGGCTCGTGCATCCGAGGAGGAAGACACCCGCACGGCCGCTCAGGCCGTCGAGCTCGTTGAGCAGCGCCGACAGCGCGCGCCGCGCCACCGCCGTACCGCCCTCGCCCTCGCCCTCGCCGCCCCCCGCGTCGCCGCCGCGCCGCGCGCCGAGCGTGTCGATCTCGTCGATCACGACAAGCGAAGGCGCGCACTCGCGCGCCTGCCGGAAGAGCTCTCGGATGGCAGCCTCGGTGTCGCCCACGTACTCCCCAAAGAGCGCCGGCCCCTTGGCGCTCAGCACGGTGCACCCCGATGCGGTGGCCGCCGCATGCGCGAGAAGCGTCTTGCCGTTGCCGGGCGGGCCGAGTAGGAGCGCGCCGCCCGGAGGAGCGATGCCGAGCCGTGCGTACGCGTCGGGCCGCTCGGCCGGCCACGTGATGAGTCGGTGCAGCCGCTCGCGCAGCGCCGAGTAACCGCCAACCTCGGCGCCGCCCACGTGCGGCGCGCCCGCGCTGAATCCCGCGCCTGCCGTGCCCGCCAACGAGGCGGACCAAGCTGCCCACGCGCGGGAGCAATCCTCCCAGCACGGAGGCAGGCGCTCCCACCCCGCAGCCGGGCGAGAGAGGGCCGCAGCAGCCGTCGCCTCGTTGCCGCCGCCTGCCTCGCCCCTCTCCTCGGCGGCGGCCGACGCCGCCCGCAGCCTTCGAGAGGTGGCAAAGATGCGGGCGAGGCCCACCAAACGGCCCAACTCGCGCGGGCCGCGCCCGGCGGTGCGGCAGC